TAATTAATTCTCACATTCAGTCGTCACACCAAAGCTAGATGCAACTGAATATACAATCCTTATACAATACAGAATATTAAAAATCAATACAGGTCTACTAAAAGATACAATTGTTATTTAACAAACGTAAAATAAAACTACCACAAAAAATACCTGTTACGTAAGCGATAAAATTATTCCAAACTGTTTCAACGCCAATATAATATTTGCTAATCCAAAAACAGCACCTACATAAAATAGCATTAAGCCACACTTCCTATTAAAAAATTCTTTGAGGGAGAAAAAAAAACAGCCAAATTCCAATCCTACTCGAAACTGACCTCCCCAAGGTCGCTGTACTTGCCCCGTCGATCGAATGATAACGCCGCCTCGGCTGCAATTAATTTTTCCCAAATTCTTCGAATGTTGCAAGACTGAATATGCTAAAAACGTTCTGCCTAACAATCTAATAATCCCTATAGATTAATTCTGTCAAAGGTTTCTGTTTGGCGCACTTATTTATTATTTTCTTTTTCGGAAAAGATTCATATAAAATAATTTTCTGTACTATGGATTTTATGAATATGTAATTCTTGATGATAACTAACGGAAAGCTAATCTATATTATTACCATTTCTAATTCATTTTTCTACAATACGTGGCATGTAGCTTTATTACAAACAATAAAATATTTTGCCAAACGATATAATCTCACTGGTTATTTATTTATTCTAAGATTCCGATAAGACGAAAAGCATTAAGTAAAATTATTTCTTTTATAGGGATTTTATGAAATAGTCTTGATAATTCAAAGAGAAGATAATCCACATCTTTTTCATAATTCAAATTCATTTTTCATAATAAAATATTTTGCCAAACGATCCTCACAAGTTATTTATTTATTCTAAAATTCCGGTAAGACAAAAAGCTTTACATAAAATTTATTTCTGTTACACGGATTTTATGAAATAATCTTGATAATTCAAAGAGAAGATAATCCATATTTTTTCAAAATTTAAATTCAGTTTTCATAATAAAATATTTTGTCAAACGATTTAACCCTCACGGGTGATTTATTCGAAGATTCTGGTAAGACGAAAAGTTATACGCAAAATTATTTCTATAACACGTATTTTAAGAAATAGTCTTGGTAATTCTTAGAGAAGATAACCCACATTTTTTATTTTTTCAAAATTCTAATTCATTTTTCCAGAAATTTTCGGAATTCTGTCTTACTGTAACAGGGTGCGTAGCCAGATTTTTCAACAAAGAATAAGCACCTTTTTAAGCGCTCAAAAAAATTTTTTAATCACTTTCCAAAATATATATATATATATATATCATAATTAGGATATGTGCAGTAATAAAACTATAAATCCAGAACAATAGAATGAAATAAACATAAATTGAACAAAATGCAAAAGCATTTTCAAACATTTTACATAATTATGATAAAATAACTAGCTTACATAATTTTGTTGGAAAAGGCTAACGCAATTTATTTTTTTGATACTATGGATATTATATAGTCTCAAGTGTTGTCTCAAGTAACAAATCATAATGATGTCAACAATTCAAAAAGATGTTATGGATTATTCATATTAAAAAAAAATTTTCCTTTTCATCTTTGAAGTTCCTATTCTGATCATAGATTATGTCACTAATACTTCGTACTACATAGATTATGTAACTGATAGATTTCAAGTAAAGAAATTAAGTGACAAGATAACAACGAGCTAAAATTTACAAGCAGAAATGTTATTATTTTTCAACAAAACATTTAATTTTCGGAACGCTTTTGAAAGTATCGCGATATTGATTGGAAAAAACATTGCATCACTTAAATCGATTTTTTTTGCTTACTATTGACACATAAATGACTCCTTATACGAATAATTAGTAAATGATATGCAACTTTTTATTATTTAATTTACATTAAAAGAGGCCCCTAAAACTTATGCATCAAATGTTTGTAAACAAATAATTTTATAGCATGAAGCAGACAACAAAGTCAAAAGAAGTTATTAATTGAAAAAAAAATCTCTTAAAATTCTAAAGATTTATTTGGAAGTAGCTTTTTTCTCAACTTTTTCAAAAATTTAAATAAATATTTTGCTGTTTCTTTAGAAATGTTCCAATCATTAATTTGAAACTAAGGCTTATAGTATAACAATTAAATTGAAATATCAAAGCAAACTGACCAAATTTAGTTTCAGTTTTTCTGCTAACAGAAATTCATAGAAAAATCCAGAGACACTAATAATTCTTAAGCAAATATTGTCTGACGACAGTTTTTAAGAGAATCAACAATTTATAAAAGGTTCTAGACAGGGTTGCAAACAAGCCATCTTTTTCAATACAAAATAAATAAAAAATTAAACCGGAAGGTTTTTATTGCAAATATTAGCTGTCAAAAAAAAAAAAAAAAGGTCTTAGTTGGTTTCTTTTGTAATTTTTTTCTAATCATAATAACATACAAGTATTTTATTTTATTGTAGACTACTCAATAAAATAATATAAGTAAAATATTTTACGATATTGTGCTATGTATCAGATTTAATAATGCAGCAAAATGGAATATTTTATATATTTAATAGCTAATGTGATGAATGTTTCAAACTATGAATGATTTGTATTTAATTAAACACAATGGATTGTAGTTTTTTTTAATAACAGAAACGAAATTAAATTTGTAATAGTTCAAATTTTACTGTGCTGATTAACTTTACTATTCATGATAACTTTACAATTTCGGATTATAATTTTAGTATAAAGGACATATATTTATCTATTCAAATTGCTTTCTTTTTTAATATTTTGACATATATTTTTAACTTTTTCTCAATGACATATATTCCATTAACAGCATATTTTTAAGTATTTGTGGATAAATAATGTCTTAGATTTAACTGATTTACACTATCTGATCTGGTCAAAACATAAACAATGATTTACGCTAATTTAAAACTATTATCTTAAAGACTAACAAAATAACTCTACTGTTTAGCATTTGCAATAAAATGTTTAGGGAACATGGAGGACTTATTGAATCGACAGATTTAACATGCAGCAGTCACCATTTACTACACGAGGAGTCTTCGGCCAGCTGGGTTTGAACCCACTAACTACTGGACATGGGCTCAGTCCCCTACCAACCCAGGCAAGTACATGGAGATAGTACTCGTCAATGTTTTTTAAAAGGAATGTGACACAGTGATTTCCAAATAGTGTTCGCAGATATTTCCATATTGTGATCTGTCACGCCAACTACAATTGCCAAGGTGCCAAATAGATTTTAAATTTGCTAATGTCTTATGTTTGCCTAGAGGTGGCTATGAATTATACCTTTCAAGGCAGTCCCTTTCTGATGTCTGCTTTTAGTTTCTAGTGGGCCACTGCCCACAAGTTGCCAAGACTAGGCAATTATTCTGACACTGATCAAAATACAGAAATCTCCCCCAAATTAAGAACTAGGCTGATGAAATAATTACATTTTTAATTCATTCACTTAATATTTTAAAAACTGATAATTAATAAAATTTAGATTATGTCATATTTTTAAAATAATTCTTTTGTTTCTATATTCACAGTTGCTTATTAAATTTATTCATTAAATAAATTCATTCCCCCAAAATAAACTATAATTTAGGGTTCCACGGCTGAAAAAATTTGCAACTGCTGATCTAATGAATCGGAGAAAAAAAGTCTTTGTGAACTAGAATGCTAGACAATCAATTTTAATTTTTAAAAAAATCGAATTATTTAGCTTAAATTGATAAACATTTATACAGCAAAATTATGACACAAGTTATATTATTTCAAATATTTGTATTATAATAAACACTTCATAGCATATTTTGACAATATTAAACATTATAGTTTTTAATTAAGATTCTAAAATACATAATTCAAAAACGCAAAAAAAAAGAAAGAAATGGCATGAAATTTCATTACAGCAGCACATTTAATTAATAATATAACCCTTTTCTTTACGTTCAAAATAAATAAAACATATTAAATAATTTTTATTCAGGAAATATGTCAGTCAACACATCGTAAGAAAATCTTTTCCCCATGTTACCCTTCTTTAATAAAGGAAATTATTATTTTTTATAAGATATGCCAGGCAGGATTTCTATAAGTAACCACAACCTGCTTACAAAAATTAGTTTAATAGTTATAAATTCTCGTTATGAATAGTCTCTAGTAGAGGAGAAATGCATACACAAGTCTCCAATTTATTTCAGCCCAATAAAAACTTATTCATGCTACTGTTTTTACATTTAAAAAAACCAAAATTTCTAACAAGAGAGCTATAGGAGGATTTTCATTGCTTCAATGCATCATAAATATATTACAAGTAGAAAAATACTCTTGTCTTGAAGTATGTAGATAAAGAAACAGGTAAATTATTAATATTGAAAAGAATATAAGACCTGAGTATGCTAAAATAATCAGGTACCTCTACACTTAATCACTAATTTCCTAAAATTTTTGTTTTCTATCAGCATCCAGAGCACAAGACTCATAATTTTTCTTCCTTCAATTCGTTCGAAAATCGAAGTTTACTCGCAATTCGTTCAAAAATCGAAATTTAGATACAAAACAAATAATAGTCATGATTCAACAATAATTATTAAAAAATACACGTCGATTATTTTTTAATCATTTCGTGGAAAAAAATAGTTTATATAGGTAAACTTTAGTTAATTCAAATTTTTTTTTTCTTCTTTAAATCACCTTACTTTAGTCACAAGTTTTTTTTTTCATTTAATTTAAAGTCCATTATTTTTTAATTACATATTATTATCGTAGTTACTTATTATAATTCGTGGTCGTGGAGACATCGTGTATAAAATCGAAATAATGTTAACGATCTACATACCAATCAGAGCAAGTAAATAAGATTGTGTTTACGACTGACTCGAAGTAAAGCAACGTCAGAGGCGCACCTGTAACGTTGCTGTTCATGTTTTGTTAAATAAACACTAGGAATTCATATGAAAGTGATGCTATCTTACCTTTTTAGGTTCGATAAATAATCCTAGGTATTAAATCCACAATTCTGTTAATCTAAACACAGTTAAAAATGAAGTAAGAATCACAGGTGTCGCAAAGAAAGAATATCAACAACACGTAAACCAGTTCACGGGGGCTGCAGAGAAAATTGATGAATGAAAGGAACCAACGAACCGAATCCACCCTGGACAAGCGAAAGAAAATCCAACAGGCTTCACTGACATTCGCTGCATAGAGCAGCCATCTTCGCTCAGTGTCACCGGTCGCTATGGTAACCACGCCACGCTCCCTCTTCTACGCATTCTATCACAAATCGATAATGCACTCGCTTTTCGAATAATTCTTAAGAAACGATACAAAAATGTTCGAATCTAAGACATGATTCGGAATAAGGGAGGAACTTATTTCTTGGGATTACACAGCTATCCACAAACGCACACTTCACGAGCTAGCAGTTAGATAGAGCAACAGGCGGCCGACTGACGTAGGCAGGACCTCTTTCGCCCAAGAAGTGACGTGACCGATGACGTAAACTCTTTCTGCTGCCCTCTTTTGGAAGAAAGATGAAGTAGAACGACGTGAGAGAGAAAACAACAAAACGATAGGAATCTTCGTCTCCGCACGATTGAACTGCGGATTAACGTTAATTTTGTGTTCAAGATGTCGATTTTCATACTTTTAGTATTTTCTATTTATTTTTTTTATCGTTTACTCGAGATAGTAGGTTACGAATTTCTCACATAAAAGTATAAAAAAATCCCATTACTTAGAAATAAGGAAGAAAATGAAACAATTTTCCTCAAATAAAAAATTTTTTTCGCTCCACGCAGTTCTATAGAATGAAGAGATCGAAAAACAGTATCGTCTTCGGTTAATTAGTGGATTCTATAAGTTTGGAAAAAAATCGTCAATAAATTATTTAGATAGAATCATTTAATATCGTGAAAATAATTACTTGTAATCGTGTAAAACAATATCGTGAAAATTATTACTTGAACGAATGTTGTGATAATTGTTTAAAATTATCACAAAACTTGTTTATTACATTCATTCAATTATTTAAATACAAGAAAGGGTTTAAAACTCTAATTCATGCAAAAGATATTGCAATTTCAAGTGCCTTTTTGCAAATGTTTTCACACTTTTATTTTATTACCGTCGTTGAACAGCCGACCCAATTTTTTGGGTTTACGCCTACTAATGTTCAACTCCGTAGCCTTGTCATTTTGAACTAAAGCAGAAGACAAGGAAACTCCTGGATCAGTATCCCAGAGATATGATTTGTTGTGGGAACATGGAGGACTTTGAGACTCGACAGATTTAACGTGCATCAGTCACTATTTACTACACGGGGAGTCTTCGGCAGGCGGGGATTGAACCCACGACCTCTTGAACACGGCCCTAGTTCCCTACCAACCAGGATATCCCGGGCCCGTTTCACACTTTAAAAAAAAATGACAGTTTAGATGCTGTAATGTAATGACTGAATGATTTATTAAACAAAGACTTAAGTAATAATCTTAAAGCTGATAATTTAAGATACGGAATCAGGCCTAAAAACACTTTCTCTAAAAATAATATACCTTTTTTTTTTATCCTCAATTTACATTCGGTAGCCACAACATACGAATTATGGCATCAATAGTTAGGCAAGAAAGCGTCGAATAAAAGATAAATAAAGCCCAATATAAAACTCTAGATAAATAATATATACTATTTAGACTTTAAACCAAACTTTCGTGACTAAATATAAAAATCTTTAAGCCAAATAAATCATAGACTAGCAAAAGAACGATAATTGTTTTTACACATTTTCTCAAAATTGTTAGAAAAATAAGTAAGTAAAAAAAAAAATTTTTTTTATTAATGAAACCTTAAGGATTTCACACAATTTTCATTGATAAATAAATGAAACGATAATAGTATAAATCAATAAATTTAAAAAAAAAACAGACAAGGGCAATTTGTTACTGTTAAAGCATTCGACGCAAATTATACAAATTAAAGAAACCTTTAAATCATCACTGGACAAAAACCAAAGAAAATAATCTTACTAAGACAAAATGGAAAATCATTTTGTCGATTCATTTAATGCTGATTGGCAAACAAATAACAAAAATTCTTTTTTGCGCAATATATAAATTAAAGTGGTACGTTATAAGAGTAGAAACTGAATCTGATCAAATTGACTAAAGGACAAGAGGCTAAAATTTATACTAATCAGATAATTTCGTCTGACATTCGACAAATTTGCATTCGCCTACTTTGTCGAATGTCTTGTAAATGTCGCTTTTGCTAATGAACTTCCTTTGAGCAACAACTGTTCTTTTCATTTTAGCTGCTAAAGGTCCTTTTGGTAACAGTAAAAAGTACAATTCGTCGCAAATTACAAAATTAAAATAAGATTCTTCGAAAATTAGTCAAATTTTAACAACTTTTCTGGAAATTAATAAAATTTTAGCAAATTTAAAAATTGTAGAAATTGTTATTCGTTCTACATTGATAGACAGTTACTTTTTACTTAATACTCGTCAGAAAAAAAAGTAAAATTAATAATAAATGAAAAAAAAATCCTGAATTGGGTACTTGCACTTCGAGAAGAAAAAGATCAAACAAGCCCTCACATGTGATCTATGACGTCAGCACCAGTTTATAGCCAATAAACAAAATGTCGCGTCAAAGCTGAGCTAAGTTTTTCCACATGAGTTAGAATGAGTTAACGTGAAGTTATTTAAATACAGCGCCGTTGTTGAAGTATAATTTTTTCTTAGATTTATTATTTGTTTATGTATTTAACTGCAACAAGTGATATATTTTTATTTCACGTACCTGGCAACTTCGGTGCATAATTCATGTACTTACTACATGGCTTTGTGCCTGTCTTTGTGTTAAGTAAGAAATATTTGGTGCAACAATTGAAATCATTGTGAAAGAATCTTTGTGAAGGGATATAGAATGTATCACTTAAGAGAATTAATACTTGACGGGGTAAGTCAACTAGAAATAGAATAGCCGTCGTTGTCGTTGTTAATTTACGTCGCACTAGAGCTGCACAATGGGCTATTGGCGACGGTCTGGGAAACATCCCGGAGGATGATCCGAAGACATGCCATCACAATTTTGATCCTCTGCGGAGGGGATGGCACCCCCGCTTCGGTAGCCCGACGACCTGCGCGCGAAGTCGAGCACTTTACGGTAGCACAGTTTAACGAGGACCAATACCGCACACCCTCGGTCCCTACGCAAACTGATCCAAGTGGTCACCCACCCGCCCACTGACCACAGCCAGTGATGCTTGACTTCGGTGATCTTCTGGGAACCGTGTCTTAACGATCAGTCCACAGCGGGACAGAAATAGAATAGAAAGAACAGTTGCTAATGTAAACAAAGCCATGTTTTAACAACCAATCAGGTCAATACTACGTCACTAGCAGGTATACCATTGGTTTAAATTTAGAATTTTATTTGGCTAATTAAAAAAAGCGGGACATCATACAGCGGGAGAAGCAATTTGGTAAAATCTCTTTTAGCTATATAAATCATTTAGAACTTAAAGAAAAGTGAGTTTAGAAAAACTTTTTTTTATATTTTATATCCGCCGTTGAACAGCCGACCGAGTTTTGGGTTTACGACTACTAATGCTCTATTCTGCAGCCTTGTAATTTTAAAACAATCCAGAAGACATAAAAAGTGCCGAATCAGTACCCCCAGAGGTGTTGATTTGTTATGGGAACATGGAGGACTTTGCGACTCGACAGATTTAACGTGCATCAGTCACCATTTACTACACAGGAAGTCTTCAGCCGGCGGGGATTGAACCCACGAACTCCTGGACATGGGACCAGAGCCCTACCAACCAAGCTATCTCGGCTTTAGAAAAATTTAAAGAAAATCATAAAATTTCAAATAATGAAGAAAAAAATTTTAAAAATATCAAATTATTGCAAAATAACTCAGGATTACGCAATAGACCATAATTTGTTTGCCTTTTGATATTTTGAAAGCAATTTTTAAGCATTTGACGCTTCCTGTTTTCCCGAATTACTCATGAAGATGAAACAGAATTTTGCCGTGAAAAGTTTCCCTCAAAATTCTCTTTTTCCATCATTGCTAATTTAAAATTTAAAGTGTAGAATAATTGAGTTCAGAAAAACCTGGAACAAGCAAGCCACGAACTTTCAAATACTGAAAAGAAAATTTTAAAGTATACAAATGAAAATAAATTATGAAGAGATAACTTAGGATTGCGCAACAGTGAAATTCTCTTCTAATAATTTGTTTGCATTTTAATACTTTGAAGTATAGTCAAACCCCGCTATAGTGAACATCTAAGGGACCGAAATTTCGGTTCACTATAACCGGAAGTTCACTATATCCGCACTGCATTTTTCCCAACTGTTCCCTTTCATGACACATTATTTAAATAAATGACCCATAAAAAGAAATTCAAAAATGATTAAAAAACAATATGGAGTAACAAAAAAAAAAAAAATTTGTTAACTTTTATTTATTATAACTCTCCGTCCTGCGTACAAAAAATCTAGAGATGGCCTTTATTTAAGAATGGGAAACTGAGATAGAAGAAGCAAACAAGAAAAAAATGCTTGTGGCTACTTTCCACTCAATTGATGGCTTTAAAAATTGGAATATGTAATTTATGTAGAAATTTCAAAATTACCAAAAAACGAACACAGAAAAAAGTTCATAATATCCAATTTCCTCTTTTCTTTTGGTTATTATTTTTTATTATTATTTTTTTCTTATTGTTATTATTTTTTTCCTCGTACAAAAAAATAATATATGCGTATAGCAAAGCACGGGAGCGAACATTTTGCTCACTATATCCGGGTGTTCACTATAAACCGTGTTCGCTATAACGGGATTTGACGGTATTTTTCTCAGCAATTGAAACTTCGTGATCTACTCTAGGTGTGCCTGAACTTACTTTTTCTCTCTTTTAAATTAGTAATAAATGAGAAAGAGAATTTGCGACGAAAAATTATAATTTCGTCCCTTAATTTCGCAGCTCATTTGAAAATAACACGGATTTCACAGAAGGAAGGGAAGAAAGAAAGAAAAAAAGTGTTCGCAATTTGTTACAGATTTCCATCCCAGATAAATTTCGCGGACTATTTAGGAAGAAGAGAAACTTTCTGACCTCGTTCCTTGTTCTTCACTCATCACTCCTTCAGATGTTCTGTGTTTCGACCTTTGACACCCCCTATCTACAAAACGGTTGAAGAGTCACAGTTGTTCCCTCCGTTTTCTCCATCGCATCGTAATATTAGTGATCAAAAACTCAGTTTGAAAGATGTTTCAGTCTATTTATATAACTGAAACATTGTAACGCATTACCCTATATCATTTCGGAACATTCAACGTATCATCTCCGAGACATGTTAAAACTTTTATGTTGTAAACATAGATAAATTGGAACATGAAATGTGCTCCGAATTGGCATTTTCCTGCTGAGTGCTGAAAACTCATGTATAAGGGACTCAA